CTTCTTCTTACTTTTTTCCAATTAGCAAATTTTTATAATAGAGCTCCAAATATTCAAGACGACCAATATGTTCAGTATAAGCTGTTGGTTGAAGTAGGAGAATTGGCATACTGAAAAGTAGAAAGATAAATTGTTCAAGTTCTGAAAATGATTTAATAATTCACTCTTCAGGGTTGAAGACCATGACTTTTGCCGACCAGAACATCAAAGCACCCACATGGACGCGCCTGCGCACTTTGCTCGCGGAAAATGGCACTTGCAAGACATTCCACCTCATAGGTTTTTCGGTACTGCGATCAAAGTCGACATATCTGCCAAAGCAGACCTCAATCCCAACTCCAACCTTGAGGTGGAAGATCTGATGAACTGGGAAAGGGTCAACGGCAAAATACCAGACGGTGCCATCTTGTTTGTTTACACTGGTTGGGGAAAATATATCAACAATCGCACTGCATTCTTTGGTTATAACGGTATAGGTAATGCAAGAGACAGTGACGGAAACTCCCGTCTTAATTTCCCCGCAGTTGCCGAAAGCGCCGCCAAATGGCTAGCAGAAAACAGGAGAATCTCAGCCGTTGGAATTGACAGTCCTTCGATAGGACCAAGTAAAACTGCTTTGGCGCATCTTCCTCTAAGCAAAAACAACATCTACATGGCAGAAGTCGTGGCAAATTTGGATAAACTTCCAACCAAGGGGTATTCAGTGGCGATGCTGCCTGTTAAAATAAAGGACGGCAGTGGTGGCCCCGTGAGGATAATTGCATTCAAAACTGTCCAAATTTCTCCCGGCCCGGATGACTTAATTGACCTTACGTACCTCCTTGATAACAACACGGTGGCGTGGCCGGGTAGTGCCAGTTTTGAACTACTAGTGAGACGTAGAGGCTATACCAGATTGGGCAACAATACTGTATGGTGCGTATATATACTTTGGTCACTGAGTGAACGTTCTTTTTAAATGGTAAATTTTGCCATCTGAAAAAGTTTACTTGATCAGAAAGTTGTTTAGTATTTCACGTTACAATGCTGTCATATACTGTTCTCTATTGATTTTTTTATCCTCAGTAATATTGCTTACTTTTCTCCAATCATCCAACTGGCAGTTAAGCCCCCTATACATTGGACGGCGTACTTTCTGTGCCCCATATTTCGGCCCCGTTTGAGAGTAAAAAAATAATGCTTTACGTGCCGACTCATTGATCATTCATTCTGCAACCAAAGCGATGCTTTTGTCTCCTTTCTACGACCACCGCCATGCCAGTTTTATGGTTGCACAAAGGACGCAGAAAGGAAGCCGTCCAGTGTAAAGGGGTTCTTAAAGTCTAACATCCGTTTTTCTTAAAATTGTGCCATAAGTGTTTGATGACGTTTGAATGGAATAACTGTGGATCATCATGATACCTCAAAGGCCTTGATTGACATATCTAATTATAAACCAGCAACTGGAATTTATTGTTGCATTCATATATACAATTGTACACCATTAGGCTCGAGTCCAACGACTTTTGTATCCCGGACCATATTGGGACGCATCTGGATGCGCCTTCACACTTCATCAAAGGTTCCTGGCGAATCCATCAAATTCCGGCCCACACCCTCATTGGTCCGGCCATTCGAGTGGATATTTCCAAAAAAGCCGCAAACAACCCGGACGCTATGTTGACTGCTAAAGACCTCCATGATTGGGAATATGAGAACGGTCGGATACCGGACAATGCCATGGTATTTTTGTACAGTGGATGGGGGAGATATATAGATGATTATGAGAAGTACCTTGGAACTGCTAACCGCACCCATTGGAAAAATGATCAAGGACAGGCTCTCGTTCATTTCCCCGGTTTCTCAGGAGAGGCAGCTGAGTGGTTGGTGAACAATCGGAAAATCATCGGAGTCGGAAGTGACGCACGTAGTGTTGATGCAGGGCAGACGACATCTCTCCCGGCCCACGTGGCTTTTCTCGGCGCCAAGCTTCTCGCGCTAGAGAGCGTGGCCAATCTCGACATGCTGCCACCAACCGGATTCACTGCATTTGTTTTCCATATGCTTCATGTTGACGGGAGTGGAGCGCCAACGAGGGTGGTTGCCGTGAAAAACTCAGCAATTAGTTTTAACTAGGTTGATAGGAAAGTAGCTTCATATGGTCCTATAACACGTCCTCTATTTATTATATTGATTTTGCCCTCATTTTTTGTCCTTACTTTCTTGATTTAAGACAATGGAAATTGAAGCATATATTTAGAAATTTCAAAGACAGTCATTAATGCAGGCAAGTCTTTCTAAATTGTTAAATGTAAATGACTGATTAAAATTCTACATGTATATTCATGCACTAGTAGTGGGTTATTTCGCTCTTATGACTTATTCAAAATCTTGAGACAGGCGTGCAATAGGCTACTAAACGTTCTGCGTGGATTAAATAAACAACAAAAAGAAAAAATGGCTCAATAATGGTGCTCTTTTCTGATGGTCTTTGTAAGTCTTGTTATTAATTAAGAGTCCAGAGTAATTTTGCCTACATTTCAATTCAATAGTCCTACTGGGAGTATCCTTCCAAAGTGTATGACTAGCTAGTATAGTATTTGTGCAGAACTCAGTGTTTGCACTTATTTTTGTCTAGTAAAAAGCAAATGGCTATAAATATTTATTTTATGCCCCAGTTCGCTATCCTGTTTCTGGCATGCATGTACTTTTATCTCAAATGATACGAAAGCAGCATCGAGTGGTTTTGTCTTACGCCCTCTTTCTTCCATTTTGTTTCTGCCCTCATTATTTATCATTTCGCGGACATTATAATAGATCATTCGCAAAAAGGTGCATACAGATAAGAGTTTGTCAAATATAGTTATACTTTATGCAAATGAAGGCGTTTTCAAATCTTACAGGATAAATGACAGCAATTTTGTGTATTTAATATTTTGTTCCATTGGCGTTATTTTGAAATGTTCAGACAGATGTGTAATACTGGTCTTTTTACGAGATGTATAGCAAAATTACCACCAGAGGTTCATACTATACTCAAATGTCTTAAATTAATTATTTTTCATACGCTTTAAGTGCATATACCAGTAAATGAGAAATGCAATTGTGCTCGGCTTCTACACAAACATCACAATGAGGCTAATAGGCACGTTCACACTCTGACCTATTAGCTGAGCTAATGAAAATATATACGACAAGTGTAACCAAATATGCACGTTCACACTTACATACATCTGTATCAGCTGAGCAACCGACATTATAAGACACATCTAACCTTGGACATAATTAATAACGAAGTGACTTGAAAAGCGGCATCTTCCTTTGAAGACATGTGCGTTCGGGTACACATTCGCCCATTGTCTCAGATAAGCGGTTTTGATAGTTCCATTGGAGCCTGAACAGATTATTATAGAGGTCGCGCGCGCTGTGCCTCAGTATATTTCTACTGTTTTTTTTTTTTTTTTTTTTTTGCATTGATAACGCAATTTCTCGCGGTCCCTCGTGGTTGCTATGATACAGCATTGCCGCCATCTTGCAGTTGAGAGCACATAGGCTTGCGTCAACACATGGAAATTTGTTTCGGGTTATCAGTTTCTTTTTTTTTTCTGTTACCTCATAAAAACGGGTTCTGGCGTTTGTCTTTTATACTTGTTATCACGTCCAAGATTGTAATGTTCTATGTTGAGCTGATATATATATATATATATATATATATATATATATATATATATAATTGGTTTTAAAGCAATGTATCGGCCGATATTAAGAGTAATACAATTACCAATTAACATCCCCAAATTCGAGCAGACAATACAATAGCCGGTAACATGCACATATATATATTTAAACCACGGCTAGCGCGTAGAACAAAAGACTCGGCCGTGCTGTATTCGACATACAAGCACGTCATGTACGAGTGCGTTCCACGGTCTCTTGCACTACTAGTGTAGTAGCCAATCAGAGGCCGTGGTTTAAGCAAGATACAACACTCGTCGCCAAGCTGTACGTGAAAATTACTCGTGTATTGTCTCGCCTGCGGCTCGCCAATACACTCGTAATATTTCACGTACAGCTCGGCGACTCGTATTGTATCTATCACATACATACCACGGGGCTGATATCAAAACAAAAGGATTGCAGGGACTAATACAATGAATGAGACGGAGTGACTGCCACGTGCGGAAGATGGGCAGGAAATCGGTCAACTACTCAGAAAACCACTAACGCAAACGAAGATGATTGGACGGTGACCGCAATTAGGCAGTAAACGCGGGGAAAGTCCATTTTTTGATATCACCCCATGCGCGGTGATATCAGCGTGTTCTATTCAAAGTTAGGGGTTTTGGGTGGGGAACACGCACGATTTCCCTTTGTATGTATGACAAATAATGCACTGTTACCCCCTCGCCCGATATCCACGATAGCATGCCTCGCTAGCGCTCGGCCTGCTATCGCGATATCGGGCTCGTGGACAGTGCATTATTTACTACATACTGTTCACAGTGTTGGTGTCAACTTTGATAAAAGGATATTAAAAGCCCCCCAGGTGCGTTTTTTTTTTTTTTTGTGTGTCACAAATGCATGTGTGATGCCATATTGCAACGAGAGCCGATATTGAGAGTAAAAAATATTAATGAGCATCCCAAAATTCGAGCAGACATTAGCCGGCAACATGAACATATATATGCAGTTCACAGCAGTGTTGATGCCAGCTTTGATAAAGGGATATATTAAACCTATATATTAAGTACACAGCAGTGTTGACGTCATCTTTATTTAAAAGGTACATAAAAAACGCCAGCCTAAAGAAATGTAAGCGAGCCTAAGAAATCGGGGACAGATTGCGTCATTTTAATTCAAGACGCGATTGAAGGTTCCATTCGTTATTATATCCAAGGTCTAACTAAATAACCAAGCGACAAGTCTAAACACGTGTATCCTGTGATCTTTCTCTTGAGCTACCGACCCAACAAGACATGGCCCTTTGTGTTGCCTTCCTTCACGTACAGACTGTATCTTAATGTCAACACAACAAATGTAAGCCGGGTTTAAATTTCTTGTCACCTTTTTCGTGTACAAAAGGCGCACAAGAAGAACAACATCTGATCCGCTTACACGAAGTCGGAGAGCTCCCTAGATCTCTCTTACCGCCAGGATCTTGCAGGAGATATTAAGAGGCAAGGCACTTGTAGTGAATGATATACATGTCCTTAAGTTTAACCAGGTAAGCTCTTAGTAATATTGACTAAATAATTGTGTTTAAAACAGCGTGAAGATTTTAACATACTAGTATAATTTTGTTATAAGCTATAACCCTCATGTTATGAGTGCATGGTTTAACCAACTTCAATTGTAGAGCCATATTTCGATATCCTCATCTGAAAACTTCAGGGGTCCTCATTTCCAGTGTGCAATAATTTGTCATTTACCCCAAGGAAATCCACTTTTTGGCCAAGTGAACAGTTGTTATCCCTTTAAGAATTGTACAATAGGACTCGCTGTTTTTTTATTGCTCGAAAAAATAGTTTTCAGCATAGATGTACATGTACATGTATATTCAAATTATTTTTCTTCAGTGAAAAAATGGCGTCGACGTCTGTTCTAATGCTGTTGCTATGCAACCACATTGTACATGCGCACTGGAGTCCTGCCGCCCATGAGATCATAGACATGACGTATGCGGTGTCAGAGGACAGTTTAGTCTGGCCGGGGCGAGAGGGAAATGGGTTTCGATACAAACGTATCTACAGGGGTCCAGTGGATTTTGGAGCTGGGTGGTATGTAAACTATATTATACCTCCAAATGAATCAGTAGCGGATTTAGAGAAGGGCCGGGGTCCTGAATCCCCTACGGTTTCTGAAATTTCCCCCTTTTGAAATTGGAATTTTGACTAGCTAAATTATAGTTCTAAACCGTACCGAATGACCCTGTTTGCTCCCCAGAACACCAAAAATGTTTCGGTCCCCACACCAAGGGGTGGATGGTCGGCTTCGCATCCGAGACCTGTTGTTCTGGACACCCCCCCCCCCCCCTTTCAAATAATCCTGGATCCGCCTCTGCTGAATATTCATTATCTTCATCTTTTCTCTCTTCTCTTACTTTTTCCCAATTAGCAAATTTTTATTAGAGACCTCCAAATATGCGAGATGACCAATATGTTCAGTATTAGCTGTTGGCTGAAGTAGGAGAATTGGCATACTGAAAAGTAGAAAGATATATTGTAGTAGTTCTGAAAATGATTTAATAATTGACTCTTTAGGCTTGAAGACCATGACATTTGCCGACCAGAACATCATAGCACCCACATGGACGCGCCTGCGCACTTTGCTCGCGGAAAATGGCACATGCAAGACATTCCACCTCATAGGTTTTTCGGTACTGCGATCAAAGTCGACATATCTGCCAAAGCAGACCTCAATCCCAACTCCAACCTTGAGGTGGAAGATCTGATGAACTGGGAAAGGGTCAACGGCAAAATACCAGATGGTGCCATCTTGTTTGTTTACACTGGTTGGGGAAAATATATCGACAATCGCACTGCATTCTTTGGTTATAACGGCACAGGTAATGCAAGAGACAGTGACGGACACTCCCGTCTTAATTTCCCCGCAGTTGCCGAAAGCGCCGCCAAATGGCTAGCAGAAAACAGGAGAATCTCAGCCGTTGGAATTGACAGTCCTTCGATGGGACCAAGTAAAACTGGTTTGGCGCATCTTCCTCTAAGCAAAAACAACATCTACTTGGCAGACGTCGTGGCCAATTTGGACAAACTTCCACCCAAGGGATATTCAGTGGCCATGCTGCCTATGAAAATAAAAGACGGCAGTGGTGGCCCCTTGCGGATCATTGCGTTCAAAACTGTCCAAGTTTCTCCCGGCCCGGCTGACGTAATTGACCTTACGTACGCCCTTGATAACACCACGGTGGCGTGGCCGGGTAGTGCCAGTTTTGTACTACTTGTGAGACGAAGAGGTTATACTAGATTGGGCAACAATACTGTATGGTACGTATATATACTTTGGTCACTGAGTGAACGTTCTTTTTAAATGGTAAATTTTGCTAACTGAAAAAATTAACTTGATCAGAAAGTTGTTAAGTATTTCACGTTACAATGCTGTCAGTTACTGTTGATCCTCAGTAATATTGCTTACTTTTCTCCAATCATCCAGTTGACAGTAAAACCATCTTTACACTGGACGGCGTCCTTTCTGTGCCCCCTAGTACGGCCCTGTTTAAAAATTAAAAAATAATGCTTTACGTGCCGACAACTGGCCGATTACTGAGCAGTCTTTCTGCAACCAAGGCAATGCTTGTGTCTCCTTTCTACGACCATTGCCATGCCAGTTTCATGGTTGCACAAAGGACGCAGAAAGGAAGCCGTCCAGTGTAAAGGTTTTTTTTTTTAAGTCTAATTTCTGTTTTCTTAAAATTTTGCCATAAATGTTTGATGACGTTTGAATGGAATAATTGTGGATCATGATACCTCAAAGGCCTTAATTGACATATCTAATTATAAACCAGCGAGTGGAATTTATTGTCGCCTTCATATATACAATTGTACACCATTAGGACCGAGATCAACGACTTTTGTGGCCCGGAGCATATTGGGACGCATCTGGATGCGCCTGCGCACTTTATCAAAGGTTCATGGCGAATTCATCAAATTCCGGCCCACACCCTCATTGGTCCGGCCATTCGAGTGGATATTTCCCAAAAGGCCGCAAACAACCCGGACGCTACGTTAACTGTTAAAGACCTCCATGATTGGGAATATGAGAACGGTCGGATACCGGACAATGCCATGGTTTTTTTGTACAGCGGATGGGGAAAATACGTAGATGATTATGAGAAGTACCTCGGAACTGCTAACCGCACCCATTGGAAAAATGATCAAGGACAGGCTCTCGTTCATTTCCCCGGTTTCTCAGGAGAGGCAGCTGAGTGGTTGGTAAACAATCGAAAAATCATCGGAGTCGGAAGTGACGCACGTAGTGTTGATGCAGGGCAGACGACATCTCTCCCGGCCCACGTGGCTTTTCTCGGCGCCAAGCTTCTCGCGCTAGAGAGCGTGGCCAATCTCGACAAGCTGCCACCAACCGGATACACTGCATTTGTCTTCCATATGGTTCATGTTGACGGGAGTGGAGCACCAACGAGGCTGGTTGCCGTGAATAACTCAGCAATTAGTTTTAACTCAGATGATACGAAAGCAGCATCGAGTGGTTTTGTCTTACACCCTCTTTCTGCCATTTTGTTTTTGCCCTCATTATTTATCCTTACGCAGTCATTATTATAGATCAGTTGCAAAAAGTTTCCATATGCATAACAGGTTTTCAAATATATATAGTTATACTTAATGCAAACTTAGGCGCTTTCCAATCTTACATTGTAAATGAAATCGATTTTGTTTTAGTATCGATTTGTTCCATTGGCGTCTATTAGAAATGTTTACACAGATGTGTAATACTGGGCTTTTTAAGAAAGGTGTAGCAAAGTAATCATCTGTTGTTCATACTAAACTCAAATGCCTTAAATACATTATTTTTCATACTCTTTAAATGCATATAAATTAGAAATGCAATTGTTCTCAGCTTCTTCACAAACACCACGATGAGACTAAAAGTCCTGTACGCTCACACTTTGATCTATCAGCTGAGCTACTGACATTATACGTCAAGTCTAACCAAATAGGCACGCTCACACTTTGACCTATCAGCTGAGCTACTGACATTATACGTCAAGTCTAACCAAATAGGCTCACTCACACTTTGACCTATCAGCTGAGCTACTGACATTATACGTCAAGTCTAACCAAATAGGCACGCTCACACTTTGACCTATCAGCTGAGCTACTGACATTATACGTCAAGTCTAACCAAATAGGCTCACTCACACTTTGATCTATCAGCTGAGCTACTGACATTATACGTCAAGTCTAACCAAATAGGCACGCTCACACTTTGACCTATCAGCTGAGCTACTGACATTATACGTCAAGTCTAACCAAATAGGCTCACTCACACTTTGACCTATCAGCTGAGCTACTGACATTATACGTCAAGTCTAACCAAATAGGCACGCTCACACTTTGACCTATCAGCTGAGCTACTGACATTATACGTCAAGTCTAACCAAATAGGCTCACTCACACTTTGATCTATCAGCTGAGCTACTGACATTATACGTCAAGTCTAACCAAATAGGCACGCTCACACTTTGACCTATCAGCTGAGCTACTGACATTATACGTCAAGTCTAACCAAATAGGCTCACTCACACTTTGACCTATCAGCTGAGCTACTGACATTATACGTCAAGTCTAACCAAATAGGCACGCTCACACTTTGACCTATCAGCTGAGCTACTGACATTATACGTCAAGTCTAACCAAATAGGCTCACTCACACTTTGATCTATCAGCTGAGCTACTGACATTATACGTCAAGTCTAACCAAATAGGCACGCTCACACTTTGACCTATCAGCTGAGCTACTGACATTATACGTCAAGTCTAACCAAATAGGCTCACTCACACTTTGACCTATCAGCTGAGCTACTGACATTATACGTCAAGTCTAACCAAATAGGCACGCTCACACTTTGACCTATCAGCTGAGCAACCAACATTATCAGACAAATCTATCCAAATAAGCACTTGCTTTCTGTGATCCTTCACCTGAGCTACCGACCTCACAAGACCTGGTCCTTTATATTGCCTTCCTTCACGTACAGACTGTACTTTAATGGCGACACACCACCTGTAAACCGGGTTTAAATATATTGGCACGTCCTTCGTGACCCAAAGGAGCACAAGCAGAACAACATCTGATCCGCTTACACGTAGACGGAGAGCTCCCTAGATCTTCCCTACCCCCAAGATCTTGCAGAAGAAATTCAAGGCACTAGTAGTGACTGATATCAAGTGCTTAAGCTTGTCCAGGTAATCTCTTAGTAATATTGACGATTTACTTGTGTTAAAAAAACTATGTGATGATTTTAACATGTTTTCAAACTAATGTTAGGGTAGCCTACATGTGAAAGGTGTGTTTCATCGCTGCACAGAGATATAATAATGGAGATTGTGGCAGGGTTTCATAGGCGAACTGAACGTGCAAATTTAAAGGTAACCCATATGAATCTTGAATGATATAATTAAAACCATAGTGATCAGATTACTATATATATTCATTCTAGCAGTAACATCTTTGATGCATTTCTTCTATCAAAAGAGAAGATTCACAAACTAAGAAAAACTGCGTTTCTTATCACATATGTTGTTGTTTAGAACACTCTATACTGCAGATTTATTGTAGGATAGACATTCTAATAACATTTTATAGAAAACGAAGAACTTGTGTATCTTTACCATCGTTTTATGGCTTTTCTTCCTTAAAAAAATAAATTTTTTCGTGACTTCGTGACTTCGTGACCAGTTTGTTGTCTCAGAGAGATGTAATATGGATTTGATCACGAATTGTTATTTTAAATTCATTTTCATATCCAGTTTAAACCATTTAAAAACGTCTTTTTCTACTGATATACTGTATTTCAGTCCATGAATGTACATATACATTAGTATGAAAATGCTTACTCACTCTCTCTCTCTTACACACACACACACACACACACACACTCTCTCTCTCTCTCTCTCTCTCTCACACACACACACACACACACACACACACACACACACGAATATACGTTTATAGTCTCATGAACAACGTCTTGTTTTCTTGGTCAATTTTGGAATTTTAGTAGGACCAGTGCATCTGTTTTGCATCTCTGGCCAATTGCGCACAAATTATTGAATTTCAATTTCCCCTTTTGTTAATGGATTTGATTTGTTTTAAGTTCAATATTTATTCAAACCACATAACGCTTATCACCGACAAAACCTGGCCAATTATAATACCCTACAGGCCTACACAATTCGCCTCTTTTTATTCTACAGAAAATTAGAAAAAAAAATTTTTTTCACTTGAATTACAATAAATCTTCATGACAAAATGCATTTCGTATGCTTACCCAGACTATGCTGCCGTGACTGGAATTTGTAATCACACTTAATTCATTCCTTCAAAGCTATTCAGATGTTGTACACGATGATAGCCAAATTCCACTGTTGACCTATAGGGACCTATATTTCGAGATCTTTATCTGAAAGATTCAAATGTCATCTTTTCCAATGTGCAATATCACCAAGACTAAACTTTTGCAATACTGTCTTATTAAAGGGATAACAACTGTTCGTATGATAGGCCTATCCATATTTTACATTAAATGCAGTGTAAACAAACAGGCCTACTTATTGAAATATAATAAATTCTATTTTACCACTGTAACGACAGTTGATGCAATTATTCTAGAATTTGTCCTTGCCTTCACCTCACGTGGCCTCCATAGAAAGCTACACTCTGTAATAATCTCATAAGAAAACATTACAAAAACCAAATATTTCAGAAAAAAACAGGAACTAACTTTGTCGGAATGGATTCATTAGCCATTGGTAGGCTAAGTATGGGGAATTGTCCTTTACTCCAGGAAAATCCACATTTTGGCCAAAGTGAACAGTTGTTATTCCCTTAAAAATTGTACAAAAGAACTAGCTGTTTTTAATTACTCGAGCAAAATAGTCTTCAGCATAGATGTTCATGTAGGCCTAGATCTATATCATAATGTATTTTTCATCAGTTAAAAATGGCGCCGTCGTCTGTTCTAATGCTGTTGCTATGCAACTACATTGTACATGCGTACTGGAGTCCTGCCGCCCATGAGATCATAGACATGACGTATGCAGTGTCAGAGGACAGTTTAGTCTGGCCGGGGCGAGAGAGAGATGGGTTTCGATACAAACGTATCTACAGGGGTCCAGTGGATTTTGGAGCTGGGTGGTATGTAAAAATATAGTATATCTCGAAATGAATCAGTGGCGGATTTAGAGCAGGGAGGAGGGGGGGGCAGGGGGTCCTGAACCAACCTTCGGTCTCTGAAAAATATATCGCACCAATATTCCCCTCTTGAAACGAGAATTTTGACTAGATAAATCATAGTTCTAAACCGTACCAAATGACACTGTTTGCCCTCCAAAATTTTTCGGGTCCTTGAGCAGGCCTCGAACCCCACACCAAGGGGGCGATGAACGTTTTCGCATCCGAGGTCTGTTGTTCCGGACTCCCCCACCCCCCTTCAAAAAATCCTGGATCCGCCTCTGCTGAATAGCGTGTAGAAAGAATCATTTTTAATCAACGCCACAGTAAAGCATGTCTCTAAGTAGTAGATTCAATATTCATCATCATCATATTTTCCCTCTTCTTCTTACTTTTTGCAAATGAGCAAAATTTTATAATAGCCCTCCAAATATTCGAGACGAACAATGTGTTCAGTATTAGCTGTTGACTGAATAAGAAGAATTGGCATACTCAAAAGTAGAAAGATATATTGTTCGAGTTCTGTAAAAAGGTTTAATCATTGACTCTTCAGGCTTGAGGACAATGACATTTGCCGACCAGAACATCAAAGCACCCACATGGACGCGCCTGCGCACTTTGCTCGCGGAAAATGGCACGTGCAAGACATTCCACCTCATAGGTTTTTCGGTACAGCGATCAAAGTCGACATATCTGCCAAAGCAGACATCAATCCCAACTCCAACCTTGAGGTGGAAGATCTGATGAACTGGGAAAGGATCAACGGCAAAATACCAGACGGTGCCATTTTGTTTGTTTTCACTGGTTGGGGAAAATATATCAACAATCGCACTGCATTCTTTGGTTATAACGGCACGGGTAATGCAAGAGACAGTGACGGAAACTCCCGTCTTAATTTCCCCGCAGTTGCTGAAAGCGCCGCCAAATGGCTAGCAGAAAACAGGAGAATCTCAGCCGTTGGAATTGACAGTCCTTCGATAGGGCCAAGTAAGACTGCTTTGGCGCATCTTCCTCTAAGCAAAAACAACATCTACATGGCAGAAGTCGTGGCAAATTTGGATAAACTTCCACCCAAGGGGTATTCAGTGGCCATGCTGCCTGTTAAAATAAAGGACGGCAGTGGTGGCCCCTTGCGGATCATTGCATTCAAAACTGTCCAAATTTCTCCCGACCCGGCTGACGTAATTGACCTTACGTACCCCCTTGATAACAACACGGTGACGTGGCCAGGTAGTGCTAGTTTTGAACTACTAGTGAGACGTAGAGGTTATACCAGACTGGGCAACAATACTGTATGGTAGGTATATATACTTTGGTCACTTAGTGAACGTTCTTTTTAAATGGTAAATTTTGCCAACTGGAAAAGTTACTTGATCAGAAAGTTGTTCAGTAGGCCTATTTCACGTTACAATGCTGTCAGTTACTGTTCTCTATTGATTAGTTGATCATTGCTTATTTTTCTCCAATATTCCAACTGGCAGTAAAGATCTAATTTCTGTTTTTCGTAAAATTGTGCCATAAGTGTTTGATGACGTTTAAACGGCATAATCGTGGATCATGTTAGCCTCAAAGTCCTAGTTTGATATATCTAATTATAAACCAGCAACTGGAATTTATTGTCGCCTTCATATATACAGTACACTTGTACACCACTAGGCTCGAGTCCAACGACTTTTGTAGCCCGGAGCATATTGGGACTCATCTGGATGCGCCTGCGCACTTCATCAAAGGTTCATGGCGAATCCATCAGATTCCGGCCCACACCCTCATTGGTCCGGCCATTCGAGTGGATATTTCCAAAAAAGCCGCAAACAACCCGGACGCCGTGTTGACTGTTAAAGACCTCCGTGATTGGGAATATGAGAACGGTCGGATACCGGACAATGCCATGGTATTTTTGTACAGTGGATGGGGGAAATACGTGAACAATTATGAGAAGTACTTCGGAACTACTAACCGCACCCATTGGAAAAATGATCAAGGACAGGCTCTCGTTCATTTCCCCGGTTTCTCAGGAGAGGCAGCTGAGTGGTTGGTAAACAATCGAAAAATCATCGGAGTCGGAACTGACGCACGTAGTGTTGATGCAGGGCAGACGACATCTCTCCCGGCCCACGTGGCTTTTCTCGGCGCCAAGCTTCTCGCGCTAGAGAGCGTGGCCAATCTCGACAAGCTGCCACCAACCGGATACACTGCATTTGTCTTCCATATGGTTCATGTTGACGGGAGTGGAGCGCCAACGAGGCTGGTTGCCGTGAAAAACTCGGCAATATCGCTCAAATATCATAATATTGTCAAAAAGATGTATGCGAGAAAATATTCAAGAAAATATTCCAGAAGGTTTGGGTTTTAAGCTTGATTCTGCCACATTCGCTTTCGCCTAATTATATGGAAACTGGCAGTGTCACATATTGACCTAATCCTCGTTACGAAAGTGCTACTTCTTCAATTCTGCTAACTGATTAAGACCTCTAACATACTTTTCAGTTGTAAAATTGATTTGTATTTATGACATATGTATTACTAGAAGGAGACAGGTGTTGGGTTTTGCTTCATTGACTTTATATCATATATCGAAGAAACATTTTACAAATTATATAAATTAACCATTGGTTACAGGTGTTGGGTTTTACTACATTGACTTCATATCATATACATCTATGAACATCTGTATATCTATGTTTTAGAAGTTGCAGCTTTTATTTCTCCTTTACATCAATATTACTCGGTTTATTATAGTGAAATCAAGATATCTAAATTAACCATTGGTTCGATGTTTCCGGACCCTACGCGGTGACATTCATTAGCTTAATTTAACCTAGAGTTTTGCTCCAGTTGAAAGCAATCTTGTTTTTTCAAAATAAATACGTAAACTAAAAACACACTGACAGTCTTACAAAATATTAATAAAATCTGGCATTTGGCAGTAATTTGACAAGCAATATCTTTGCGGTGCTCATATGCTGCCTGTAAGAGCACATTCAGAACAAGATGATCCGCCAGCTTACAGATCCGCCGACTAAATATGGCCGACCCCACTTCAAAAGTGATGCCGCTGATTCCCCATGGTCTCCCCACCTCCACACGCGCCATTAAACGGATTAAATCTCGGCTCCGCGGTTTCTAGGCCCCTGCAGCGACGGTGCGTGTGGAGGCGGGGAGAATATCGTTTTTGAAGTGTGGTCGGCCATATTTAGTCGGGGGATCAATTAGTCCTCGGATCATCTGTTCTGAATGCAACCTGGGTCAATTTTTTGTGCGGCGTCTGTGCAGAGGCAAGCAATAATGATACGTCTATTCACAGCCTCGCGACCGTAGTCTATACGATTTTGTCAAATTTAAACTTTTGACAATTTTTCAAATCGGAAGCCCGTCTGCCGTTCATTATCGTAGATGGAAGCGCACAGTTCCGGCCGGCCAGTGCAAACATTGTGCGGTGAACTTGCGGCAATCGTGATAATGGTTGAACTTGTTGGTCTCTTTCCCTTCCACCTTTGGTGGTTTTATGGGGCATACGTAACAATAGTTTTAACTTCCTAAAATGTTTAAACCAAGCGTAATTCACTTGCATGGATTCGAAGTTGTGCGTTTTCTAACTCGGACCACATGGGAGAAATAATCGTAATGGGCTTCAACAACGTACCGATCTTCAAGAAAGCCGCACGGAATACGTGCGACAACTGCAAGAAGACTGAAAGGGCACTTTTCAACTGACAACCAAATTTTTCCAACGCGACTTCAAGCTCATGTCGTAGAAATGGCAAAGTACCTTCACGTAATGTAAAGGCACTCGCCTTAGCCCGTAGCTACTTGCGATGTCAAAGAAACCATACGGGAAATCGTGTACATTTTATCGTGCGACGCCCTTGGTGAATGTAATCCAGGCTTAAGTTGACAAATTTAACTTTTTTGACAATTGAATTTCGACCCGACAATAAACAACAAGATAGTTTTCATGTTCCAGAAGTTGCAGCTTTTATTTCTCCTTTACATCAATGTTACTCGGTTTATTATAGTTAAATCAAGACAATAAAGCACAAAGAGTAATGTTACCTAAAACAGAATAGCACTTACAAGTTTATTTCTTATATAACTAGCAATACTTGCAACTAATAAATAAGATCACCTCTTGACTTATGAAGGTGTATAATTTTCTTCACAATTCTTTTATTCAAATAATAAACATTGCAGAAAAACATCTCAATGTATTAAAATGTATATCAAGTGGCATATAAATGATGAGCAAATAAATTGTGTATATTAAAGTCATAATAACTCTTCGTTTTGGCCAAAAATTGGATTTTCCTGGAAAAACGGCAATTTTCCCCTACTTACTGTCAAGAATAAAGCTAACCTGAACTGATTGTTAATTTATGTGAGATGACACGTGCTAAACAGTAATGTTAACCCTAGAGATTGTAATCCAGCTTTTTAAATTAATTTTCTTTGATGGTTTTAAGTATGAAGAAGGCTTTTGGTCAAGTTTGGAGTTTAGATCTTAAACATTAACTATTTTTATCGTTTAGAATTACATAGGTGCGAGTTAATATCAAACAACGAAAGAGAGACATTTGTATTAAAATTTAGGCGAATTTCTTTTACGCGTATTTAATTATAATTCTTCCTGCTTTGTGTGCTGCAGAACCAAGGAGTCAGTCTTTCGGTCCGCCACCCTTCGCCTTGTTATATAAAGAAATTTTTGATATTCGACAACGGGCCAGTTCTCCAAGCAACTTTTGCGTGCAGTTAATGGGAAGATTGTTTACTGTTGATGAAAAAATTCAAAAGGACAGAAATGTTACGGGTGTAGATGGGAGAGATCCTGTTTGCAAATAAAGACTGAATTATATTATTGATATGGCCTACAAAATGTTTCTTACTTAAACAACTGACAAGTCTTTTTGGAAAAATGCATTCCATCCATGAATAAAGCAAAGAGAATTATCAGGACTTCTATAAAAAATTTCAATCGTGTTGATTTATAGTATGTATATAGCAATAACGGTCTGAAGCCTAAGAAATATTACATGTACAAGTACGAGTAGTGTTTTATTTTATCTCCCATAAATTCATTTATTCAACTCTATGTGAATTCAATCTATTCATAGCCAGGCCTACCCAACTACCAGACTCGGCACCTACGGATCCAGAATAAACCAGTTTATCAGACCACACTACCCGTTTTCAAGGTGTGTGTCAGATCGCATTACAGAGTATCATACCCCATCACAAATTTTGTAAGCCTACCTGTCATCCGGGTATCGCGCCTCATTTTCGTCAAGTAAGAGTCGTATGAATACAACAACATGGAAATCGGCAATCCTAGGCTCATTCCGCAAGCTCCATACTATTGTCGAGTGCGGAGACATCGGAGTAGTTCCGAGTGACAACATGGCGACAGACGACTCACTGAATCTCGTCCAGAAAATATTTAACCCCCGACAGAATATGCTTCCGCTATCAAAATTAGGTCTACTTTTCTAAATGAATATATAAGTTTGCAAGTTCTATTTACAAAACATCATTGGCTATGTTCGAACCTAAATTTTATGTTAAAAATTGCGGTTTTGTCAGATTTTTAGCATAAACAGGGAAAATTGCAGAAGCGCATGAATCTAGATGAGATGCATTACTTTCCAACCCCGCTTTAGACTACGGTGGAAGTGAAGAACAAAAGACTCAGACGTGGTGTAACTCGCATAACCGCACGTCTCGCATGAATGCGTTATAACCCGCTAATGGACCCGTGGTCTAAATAAGATAGATCCCTCGTCAGCGAGGGNTTAAAAATTGCGGTATTGTCAGATTTTTAGCATAAACAGGGAAAATTGCAGCAGCACATGAATCTAGATGAGATGCACTACTTTCCAACCCCGCTTTAGACCACGGTGGAAGTGAAGAACAAAAGATTCAGACGTGGTGTAACTCGCATAACCGCACGTCTCGCATGAATGTGTTATAGCCCACTAATGGACCCGTGGTCTAAATAAGATAGATCCCTCGTGCTTCGCACTCGTGTATGCCACATAACCCTCGCTGACTCCGGGTCTATCTATTACTACAATCATCGCTATCACATCGCGCACCAGGCAAAATCGGTGTGGTGGCTGATACTCTGTAATGCGATCTGACACACACCTTGAAAACGGGTAGTGTGGTCTGATATACCGGTTTATTCTGGATCCGTTGGTGCCGAGTCTGGTAGTTGGTTAGGCCTGNTTTCCATGACTACCGGGATGGACGAGATTGAGGGCAGGGGTAATCCTAGAGAGGGGTGAGAAACGTCCATTGTTCTCGTCAGCGAGGCTGGCCTTTTTCAGGGTATGTACGCACAGACAAAAAAACTAAGTATTGTGGGAACGTTACTAATGAAGCGACTGGTAGTACTAGTAGATATAAGCATGTAGTCTTGAACAAGCGCCTCGAAGACGAGTGAACAGTTGTCAAAAACAAAAGACCCAGGTGTGGTAGTTCAACTACTGTTCATGCGTGCCGCAACGACCAAACCTAATTGTTCCTCAAGGTCACAAAACAATAACCGGTATTGACGGCTAGGCTCGTCTTAATCATAAAAGTAGCGCGTTTCCACCCCCTGATTGAGGGAGTCGTCTGTCACCATAATGTTGTATTCATACGACTCCTACTTGACGAAAACGATGCGCGATACCCGGATGACAGGTAGGCTTACAAAATTTGTGATGGGGCATGATACTCTGTAATGCGATCTGACACACACCTTGAAAACGGGTAGTGTGGTCTGATATACCGGTTTATTCTGGATCCGTAGGTGCCGAGTCTGGTAGTTGGGTAGGCCTGTAATCTTACAGTGACAACTACACGTATGATTTTCAGGGAACAGCGAAATGACCAGTATGAAGAGTACCGCGGTACCAGAAGACATACAATCCCTGTACAACCTGTCCCGCCTTCACCACGACTACATACTGGAGCACCGCCACTGGCTGCTGGAGCTGGAAACCAACCTCGGCGAGGAACGCCAGAAACGCTTGAATCTGACCTGTAGGGCTGACAAGGATCTCGTCACGCAATATCGGAAAATAATCCAGCTGGATCTAGCCCTCAGGAATTTAAAACAAACGATCAGAAACGAGTTAGAAGAGAGCAAGAAACATATTAAAAAGGTAGAAAATGAGACAGCGCAACTACGGAGGTTGTATTTCGAAGAGGAGAAAGTCCACAAAAACGCCTCCTCGGACTTTGAAAGCGTCATTTTGGAGCAGCAGAAACAGATCGCGGCACTCGAGCAGTTGCTGTATGACATTGGGGAGGAACTTAGCAAAGAAATCGAAACGAAGGGATTAAAGAGTAAGTTTAACGCTATAAACGAGGTCTTACCACCAACGACGACGACGCAGCCACCGCCCCTGCTGAATCCTAGTCAGAACGCGCATGTGGCAGCACACAGCGGCAACGGATTGCCTTCAGTGAATCGTCAGACAGAGCAAGCGCTGCGCTTAACCAATCTCCAAAAATCTCTTCTAGAGGAACGCGCAAGGCGCATCAATTTAACTCTGATCGTTCAAAAGCAAGAACAGCGCATCATACAGCTAGAAAACTACATTTCTAAATCCAAACCAAGATTTTCGTTCAGAAACAATTTTCGCTTTCTTGATTCTCAGCCGAACATCAACAGACCTGGAAAAGGGGATCACGTGAAATGTGTCCAGCAAGAGAACCGTATTGACCAACTGGAAGCAGTGTTAGCGGCCGAAAAAAGCAGCCATGAATCAAAGAGTAAACAGGTTACTTAATTTGACAATCTTTAACTAGGTTCGATATATCACTTCTATACATCCATCTGCCCCTGCCCCCAAATTACTTTATTAATTATATAGCATCATTAAGTGAAAATCTACAATAATGATAAGTTAGACTTAAATACGTCTTCCCGGAAAAAAATTAGTTTCCATAGTCCTAGAACAAATATCTTTGCAAATAAAATATATTTTGACAATCATTTTAACAATTCCATTACATTCTTAATATTGATATTAATGTCTATGATTTTTTTACCCAGTTGCCCCTCCCCCTTCGGGCTTTCCTAATAATGAAGCATCGCGTAATGAAAAATTAATTAGATTTCTTTCTCCCAGCTGAACAAAATATACCTTTGACATTTTGTAAATGAAAAATAGAATTCACATTCTCTGCACTAAATGTCACGGACGACATGAAATGTATAAAAAAATAAAAATTGTGATTTTCTTCAACATTTCTTTACAGTTGGCAGAATTGTCCAAAGCCTTGACAAGAGAAGTAGAGCAGCGATCCAGAGCTGAAGAACAATTTCAGTCAGCTTTGCAAGGTGAATTGAATCAGTCACGTCAAGTGAGAGAGGGAGGATTTCTTTGTGAAGAATCGAAAGAAAGCAAGGTTACAAAGAGAGAGAGAGAGAGAGAGAGAGAGAGAGAGAGAGGCTATTTTTGTGAATAATCAAAAGAAAGCAAGCTTACAAAGAGAGTAGAGAGGGGGATTTCTTTGTGAACGATCAAAACAAAACAATGATATTTAGTGGAGGTGCAGAAGTAGAGGTGCAGAATTTTGTTTTTCTCCTTCTTATCGCCTTCTTTCGCTCCACTGAGAGCATGCTTCGACAATATTTCTCCAACAGACCGTAATCTGATGTGTCCCACTTAATTCTATCCGAAGAATGATTTTTCAACCTGACTTTAACAAGTAAATAGTTCGCAGAATTACGAAAATATAATATGATAACGGTTTTAAGAAAAAGCTTAACCCACCCTGATAAACGACCTTGATAAACGATCAGCCTATACGTGTCATTCCAGAGTTGAACAAGCACAAATTCGTGGATGTGTATGCTGAAGGAATGGGGCTAGACGATACACAGGGTCTCACCAAACAAGCTTTTGCAAAAGTATGTATATTTGTTTAATGTGTGGCCCACAGTGCCAGCAACAATTACTCTTTCTAAATCAAAAATGATTTTTAAATGTTTTAAGCAGGCGCATGCAGATGATACACTTTGCTCGTACTCAAAACGCTACTTTAATGTTTCATAAGCCTTTATTGTAGAATACGAACATAAAGCTGCGCAAATATTTTGTCCGGTAAATAATAACATTTTTATCCTTTTACCTTATATTGAAAGGAAATAGAAAATGAAAGGATAAAATGTCCTTAGTAACAAAATGTCACGGGGGAGGGGGGGGGTCGCTGTAAATACATACATGTCATCTGCATGCGGTGTTCAGAATGGAAGTAATCTTCCTAGCAGGATCGATTTATCTCAGTCAGTGTAATCAGCTTAATTTTCTGGCACGCCCCCTCGCAAAGCAACATGAATAACATCATGGACCACAAAGTTTTCCATACTTTACCCAAGTTCTTTAAGGGGGCGCGCCAGACAATTAATCTGATCACATTGAATGCGCCTTGGCGAGATTCCCCGCTGAGAAGGATCGATCCTGCTAGTACGATAACTTCTATTTTGAACACAGCCTCAGATCATGTGTATTTCTACAGGTTAACGGAAGGATGTACTCCAACCGCTTCAACCGCGGGTTCAACTTTCTGGTCCTTAACGGCACCTCAGGGGCCAAAATGGCGCACGTGTGCTTCGATCCCTTTGGCAAACCAGACGACGACAACGCAGTGTTCCACTACGTGAAAAATAGTATACCATTTGGGTGAGTTCGGTTAAAAAGTAATAAAAAATATATTCAAGGAGAGTACGCTTGCATGCCATGTGGTTTGTGTTCATTGAATGAGCTTGGCTTTTCGATTTTTGTTTCTCTCTTCATGCAGTAGAAATCCGTATAACGAGCTGCTTGGGAAGCTGATACATATTTGATCAATCCTCGCCTTGACATTTGAAACAGATCTAACAAAAAATTCAAAGTACAAACGAGAATAACGCTTGGTAATATTTTAAGTGGTAATTTTATTAAGTATAACATATGACCTTTATTTGAAAGGAGCGTCGTCGCTAACATCGAGTGTGCACATTTCAAAGCCAATTAACGACTTAATCCAATCAATGAACACGAGGACATTAATGGCAAATTAAACACCTGGGGCCGGTTTCATCAAGGCTGGATAGGCTATCCTGTGGATAACACTATCTATGGTATAAATCTCTTATTCTCTGGATAGTTATCCTCTGTGTAAATTTGTGTTTCATAAAAGCTGGATAAAGAGCATGATAGTAATACAATGGATAAAAATTTATCCAATACCATATTTGGAAAAAGACATTCCCATAATGCAGTTGGTTGCTATAAACATTATAAAAGCCATGATAGTTGCTAACAAAAAGTGGTCTATACCATATTTGGAAAATAAATAACCCATAATAAACAATATTCTAAGTATATTTCAAGATGGTACATTCATTAAAATAATGGGGAAAATATCTACAGGATATTTTAGTGTCAGTGTCGATAACACATCACATTGCATTAGTTGTGCCTCATGCAATGTTTACACAGATTACACAGTTGAAGGGCAAGGTCGTGACCAGTGGGTCGTGACATACTTTCTAACAAAATGGCTGATTTGGCACATTTGGCAGATTCTGTCAATAGCAGTGTAGACATTTTTCGTCGATTTAAAAGGTATGTTTTAGTAAAATAAAGATAATTGGTCTCTCAGGGAGATTGCATGGATTTTGTTCGTAGCAGGCGCGATGTCAACTTTGATAAAGTCTGTTATGTAATCTATTGATTCAGCATCACTTAAATCATCAAAAGCAAACATGCATCTTCTAAAATTCTCTTTCTAATCATTCTACGCCTGTGAAATCTCATAGGATTTACTTCCAAAGCAAACAGGTTCGCCATTTTTGATGATTTAACAGCATGATAGCAGATTTATCCCACCTATTTCGAGCGGACAACTTTATCCTCTGGATAAGCTGATTTATCCTCTGGATAACGCTATCCACTGTTGATGAAACGCACTATCCTCTGGACAGCTCTATCCAGAGGATAGCGGCCATTTTTAGCCAAAGGATAGCGCTATCCAGCCTTGATGAAACCGGGCCCTGGCGTTTAAGTTAAAACTAAATACAATTCTTGATCATTTCAGTGCTATAGTGGTGGTGTTTACCTTTGATGAAGCTTCTAAAAATTCGGTAATGGCCAAGGAGGCGTTAAAAATGCTTGGAGCGTCCGATGTGAATCTGGCTTACAGAGGTCTGTCATTTTTTAAAGTCGGAACTTATTTTTTTAAATAAACATTTCTCACTGACACGTTGCTATTGTATGCTGTCGGTTGTTGTAATTGTCCCAAATTATACATGTCAAAAAGAAAAAAGAGGAATGGATAAAATAGATACTGGAGAGGGAAATATCACATTTTACAGTTACAATGACATATGAATGAACGTTTAAAGATATGTTTTACCAAAATGTCGGACAAAAAGATATAGAAACACTTTTATCCCATACTGTTTATATACGTGTCAATGATCTAGGTCTATCCATTAACTTTTAGCTTTTGAAAACAACAACGAATCACCATTTTTAACCTCATTATTGGTTTTATAACTTAGAATTTATCTTAAAGCTCTATTTTAGTACTACATCTTTATACTTTTATACATATACATTCAATATATGTCTTATATATTGCAAAGAACACAATAAACCTTTATTACACTCAGATGATTGTATTCATAATGTGACGTCAATGTCACAGCAATATACGTGTATGCTGCTGTGGGCTATAGATTTAATTTACCCTTGACAACATACTATTTCCCAGAACATACGTCACAGGTAGAGATGATATACCTGCATTCAATCTGTATAAAATGTCATTGGGGCGTACAAAAGATCCCTTTATATTAATTGTACATATTCCGAGGATATATCTACATGTGATGCATCTAGAGGTATAGAGAGATTGACTGAACAAGTTACACTGGCAGGTCCAAAGCCAGGGAGGGGGTTCAACAGACCCCCCCCCCCACTTTTGCCAGTAAATACCCCCCCTCCCCGCCTCTGGGTGAAATTTGATCTAGGTACACGAAGGTTTCATAGTAAAAAGTCCACTTTTTCCACAAAAAGACCCCCCCCCTTTGAAATTGCTGTCTACGGGCCTACATGTATGTGTATAATCTTGACATTGGTAATAATTGTATATTTGTAGGTAAATTTATATATTTGTATGTATTTGTATATTGGTATTATTTGTGTGTGTATATATCTTCCAGATGCTTTTGCCATGCTGGGGTTCAGGGGTCACTACAAACCCCACTGGGTCCAGCAAAGCCTGGCCAAGAGACACCATGGTCCAGCGGTGGTCAACTCCAGGATACCGCTCATCTACTAGCCTACTGGTCTACTGGCCAGGGAGTCGTTAGTTTACTGTACGAGGACTAATGGTACTTCTTACCCGAGAACAGTTTTTCATGTATCACCTATGGGAATAAGAACTCGGAAAGTGAATTTGCGTCATCGTCTATGCGAATAAGAACGCGCAGAACAAAATTGCATCATCACCTACGCGGTTAAGGCCCCAGAGAACAAATGTGCATGTATCATCTATGCGAACAAGAATGTTAACGGTACTTTGCTACAGAACCATGTTGATTTTCTTTCGCTGAATGCACAGTTCCAATTATTTCTGCTCCTCAAAGAGGTGATTGCATTGCATCAGATGTGCGGCACATTGCAGCACAATTTTAGTTCGTGCAGGACGGATTCAATATATCAGTAAAGTAAATGCATCAGTTGCGACTGCGCTGGATTGCGCGTGTGGCTAAGAACCACAATGACAATCTTTGAAATTTTCTGAAATAAAATATGAACACAAACATAAATGACAGAGAATGTGGAGAATACGTCTAAAATTTTAAATATTTATTTCTCATGAAGCTGAAGCCTCAAAGCAATTTTTTTAATTTAAAAAAGCATTCCAAAGGTGTAAAGTTAAACTAATGCGCCACATACCGATATATTTCTTTGAATGTGTTATTGTCCCCTACCGAATTGCCTGCATAGCCACTGCTCTCCTCTGAAAACCCATGGCATCTATAGGATAATTTCTCCCATAAGTAGTGCGATCCTATAACAGAATCTGTTTGCCCTAAATCCACTTTCTCTAGAGGTGTTGCAGAAGGTGCATAATCAGCATGCAAAATTTGAATTCTGGGTACTTCGTTACCAACTCGTAGTATATGGAAACGGGTATATTTACCCGTGACTGCTAGTGTGAGTTGTTTAGTCCCAATCCTGAGCTCAATGCCTGGTTTCACAAAAAAACTTAAGTCTGGTTCCCTGGCTAAGAACTTAATTATCAAGGTTACATGGTCACATGGGCACATCTTACCCTACCAGGAGCAGTGTAACAGCACTCTCAAGGAAATCCTGGTCAACTAAGCCAGGGAACTGACTTAAGATTTTTTGTGAAACTGGGGCCAGCTCATAATAGTACAAGTGATTTTATACACTGTATGTACTATTACGTATGAGAATCTATGTGTGCACGCGTGTGTGCATGTTTTTATGCGTGGACTGCACTGTACATAAACGTATGTTCAGTTTGAGAAAGAGAAGCTAGGGGAATCGTGTACCTATAATGATATGTCAGGATTACATGCGTACACGGTGTCACAAGCTGACAAAGTTTAGATAACAGGCAAGTCCCACGTTTTCAATACATAACATACTCATCATTCTATGTCTGAAGACGATGGCGATATTTGGACTGCTTAATAAACATGAACTCTTCCACATCACCTGTATTGAGAACACCCCTCTCCGTATGACACTAATTTGTCTTAATAACATTTCGCCAGGCAGTCATTTGCGGTGGCATATGTCAGTCTAAGATCTTCTTTTAACCGAACTTGACAGAATCAGAGGTAGACGTTAAGGATTAATGTTATAAAAATGCACGTCTCTGATGCTTCGCCCTCCTTTAAAAATGTGTTGGAAATATTGCTACTCGTTGATATCCTCAATATAGGACTTAATTGTCTCAGACAAAGGTAGATAGAGTTATATCTCCCCGTTTGCTGGGTGTAGATGTTTTTCGTACGAATTTAATATTTTTAGTACGAATTTAATACCGGGATCAATTGGATTCTGAATTTTTCATTTTCATATTTACCATTTGGTAAACTTTGCTTTCATTTTTATCGAAGGCAAACACTCCCTTTTGATTGATGATTTAATCAGTCTATGAATTAATTTGTCAAAATAAAAGTTTGTCAGATTATTAGTTAATAAAACTGCCCCTTAATCATGTCAAAAAATAATACAACATGTACTAAACATTACACCAAAGGTACTGTCCACTTTCTAGAGAAAAATCTTAGGGCTGACAGAGACACCTGTTACTGGCATAATCAAAGACAGCAATTCCAAGCAGAGGCATTTATGATAAATATGTTTCTTGTATTAGGCAGCATCTAATCATTGTTAATCCGTGTTGTTATATCCCTAAAAAGCCACAACTTATAAAACAATTTATTCAGATTCAGTGCATGCGACCCATATGTCAGTTCACTTTCGACTGTGTTTTGCATATTCCAGAACACAGCTTAATTCATTTACCACCATAAAGTGCCTTTGGATAAATGAAAAATTTTGACCATGTTACACCGGGTACATACAGTGTAACTTTAACGTAAATAGGCATTAAACTGACGTAAGTTTGGCGTAAGTCTCTGTGNATGCTTCTCTTTGGGGTCATAAATGACCCCACGAGAGTTTGTGATGTATACGCCACACTAATTGGTTGATCCCTACAAAAAACTGTGAAAGTGTGTAGGATTAGTAGACTGACAAACTCATGCAGGGAAAGAAAATTCGAATAAATAATATAGAGATGGCACATTAAATCATATGGCTGGGGTCGTAAATGACCCCACTCGGTCACTTGAGGGTTAATTTCGACCCGACAATAAACAACAAGATAGTTTTCATGTTCCAGAAGTTGCAGCTTTTATTTCTCCTTTACATCAATGTTACTCGGTTTATTATTTAACTTTTTTGACAATTTAATTTCGACCCGACAATAAACAACAAGATAGTTTTCATGTTCCAGAAGTTGCAGCTTTTATTTCTCCTTTACATCAATGTTACTCGGTTTATTAAAGCACAAAGAGTAATGTTACCTAAAACAGAATAGCACTTACAAGTTTATTTCTTATATAACTAGCAATAATTGCAACTAATAAATAAGATCACCTCTTGACTTATGAAGGTGTATAATTTTCTTCACAATTCTTTTATTCAAATAATAAACATTGCAGAAAAACATCTCAATGTATTAAAATGTATATCAAGTGGCATATAAATGATGAGCAAATAAATTGTGTATATTAAAGTCATAATAACTCTTCGTTTTGGCCAAAAATTGGATTTTCCTGGAAAAACGGCAATTTTCCCCTACTTACCGTCAAGAATAAAGCTAACCTGAACTGATTGTTAATTTATGTGAGATGACACGTGCTAAACAGTAATGTTAACCCTAGAGATTGTAATCCAGCTTTTTAAATTAATTTTCTTTGATGGTTTTAAGTATGAAGAAGGCTTTTGGTTAAGTTTGGAGTTTAGATCTTAAACATTAACTATTTTTATCGTTTAGAATTACATAGGTGCGAGTTAATATCAAACAACGAAAGAGAGACATTTGTATTAAAATTTAGGCGAATTTCTTTTACGCGTATTTAATTATAATTCTTCCTGCTTTGTGTGCTGCAGAACCAAGGAGTCAGTCTTTCGGTCCGCCACCCTTCGCCTTGTTATATAAAGAAATTTTTGATATTCGACAACGGGCCAGTTCTCCAAGCAACTTTTGCGTGCAGTTAATGGGAAGATTGTTTACTGTTGATGAACAAATTCAAAAGGACAGAAATGTTACGGGTGTAGATGGGAGAGATCCTGTTTGCAAATAAAGACTGAATTATATTATTGATATGGCCTACAAAATGTTTCTTACTTAAACAACTGACAAGTCTTTTTGGAAAAATGCATTCCATCCATGAATAAAGCAAAGAGAATTATCAGGACCTACTATAAAAAATTTCAATCGTGTTGATTTATAGTATGTATATAGCAATAACGGTCTGAAGCCTAAGAAATATTACATGTACAAGTACGAGTAGTGTTTTATTTTATCTCCCATAAATTCATTTATTCAACTCTATGTGAATTCAATCTATTCATAGCTAAAATGTACACCGAAGTTGCTTTCATCACCGAATCTTTTTGGTAAAGTCACTTTTAAAAATAACTCCGTATCAGAGTAGAGTGAACAAAGTAGAGTGAAGCCACCACGCATCAAAGGTCAATTAACGCTTGGACGAACACACTTTATTGCGACCTCGCTCAGCTTCGATCTTTATCTCAGCAAGCTAGGGTTGGGCTCTTTCGTTAGCAAAAAGTAAGACACGATAATTACCCGACGGGTCAGGGGATGGTACTATTGTTATTAGAAACCAAACAGCGCATGGATGACAATGTTATTTCCATGGTAACCGCGCCAGGCTGTATGAACAACCCGCAGCGGCCCGCATAGTAAGGAGACTTACTATGACAAAAGAGAAAACCTACAGGTCACAGTAAGATTCCCAGTGTAGGACTTCCTACTCAAGTTCAACAGTAACTATGGACATATCCTTGCCAGTTTTGGAGATATAAAGATCAGAAAACTTGCAAAGTGCAACTTTGGGCGTATCTCTGCCAGTTTAAGAGATACCGGTATATGGGCTGGAAAATTTGCAAAGTTCAGTTCATGGTAAAAATTAGGTCAAAGGTCAATTTCAGGATCACAGATTGCCAATATATGACTTCCCATTTAAGTTCAGCAGTAACTATGGGAATATCTTTGCCAGTCTTGGAGATATAAAGATCAGAAAACTTGCATTCAATTCTGCTGCAATAATACATTATGCTTAAATTTTAATTACTCACAACAGATAATACTGATGAAAGAAAAAACAGACCCATGAGAGGTCAAGTTCACACTTAGAATTTGGCAAAATGAGAAAAATGAATATTTCACAAAAAATTGCATTAATTCACTAAAAATGATAATCCAGTAAAGCTGGTTTTCTTAATTGAACTAAATATCAACCCTAAGAATTATGCTTGTAAGTAAAAAAAAAGTAAGTTTTCTTTTTATCATAACGTTTGTGGTGACAGTGCACTGTAGGCTTTTTGCCAATTTTGATGCAATATTACATAATGATTAAATGTATACTTACCACCAAATTTTAATTATATTCTATTAATAACATGAGCATTTAGAAATTTTGATTACCACTCGGCTTCATGCCTGTGGGAGTTCCAAGTCCTACATTGNTATTACATAATGATTAAATGTATACTTACCACCAAATTTTAATTATATTCTATTAATAACATGAGCATTTAGAAATTTTGATTACCACTCGGCTTCATGCCTGTGGGAGTTCCAAGTCCTACATTGAAAATGCTAATATGTGAAAGATAAAAAATTCACAAAAATGTACAAAAGAAAAAAGAAGCCAATTAGACTGCTTCTCCAACTTAGGCTGCATTTTAGTCCTGTAGTTCTTTCCTGTAAGTTTAAGAAGAGTAAGGGGCATGGTGTTTCTTTAATGGTCACTATGGAAGCAGTGCCCAAAATAGTGTTTTCTACAATTTTGATGCAATATTCCATAATGTTTAACAGCATAATGACCATCATAATAATAATATAAAAGTACCATGGATATTCAGAAAATGTGACTGGCAAAAGTCTTCAAGGCCACGGAAGTTCAGAGTCAAACCTTAAAAATGTCAAAAAGTAAACAAGATAACTGTACTGAAATAAATCTATTTCCATTTTAACACCTTTTTTACATATAACAAAATAATCAATTTACTGTCATTTTTATATGTTCAACTAAGAAAATTGTTGACATAGGAAAAATATCAATAGAACAATTCTAAATGTCCAAC